TGTTAAACTCTTTTACAAGAATTTAGTTTAGTTTTATCCACTCTTTATTATGTACTTTAAGCCACTGGCTTTTTTATGTCAATGCAACAATTGTTGGTGACTACTACCAGCTTCAATGCAAGGCCTACTGTCTAAAATGTAGTGTTATGTCTGCAATTGTGCTAATATCTGAAAATTGCCTCGGTTGGTGACTTTTAAGAGTTTTTTTTTTAACGAATCTACCTCCCTTGGACCAGGAACACTTGAAACGAGTGCAATTGTTTTTTTGAGGTTGTATTAGCATGTTGCTAAAACATTGCCAGTTTGCTTGATCTTAAATAAAAAAACGTTTTAAAAATATTCCGTCGAGTCTGTTTGCATTCATTCTCTGGCCGTGCCGCAGTCGAATTGGTCAAACACGTGATTGAACTTATTGAGTAAAAATATTGCCAGTTGGAAGGTTCAGCTCTCCATCAACCTTCGGTCGACGATGAGTACGGCTTTGAGTATCGATTTTAGTGTTGTTCTGTTTGGAAATTAGTTCCTGTTACTGATGCAGACTTGTACAATGCGGGCTGCAAAGAGCTAAAACATTGCACTCATTTGGGCAGGGTGTTTGAAAAATGTTCAATTGCTCAATTCGTTATTTATAAAAGTAGTATAGGGTATGTATGGTGGTACCCAGAGCCGTCATGTGCTATGTGGCTAGGGTTATATTCTCATCGGTAGCATAGTGGTTAAGCGCACTGTGCTATGAAACCAGCGACCAAAGTTCGAGTTCCGCTCGCGGCCAACACCAGTGACTTATCCTGGGCCTCGCCTAGGTCGACTGGGTCTCGAATACCCAGTTTCAGGTGTAAACATTTCTTCTAGGGAAACGAAGGTGGTCGGGCGTGGTGCTGGCCGTCATAGGTACTTACTAACAGCACTTGCCCCGACAGTCTTAAGGCTATACGGGAGATCCATCTTTTGTACTACGATACCATTACACGAAGTGTAAAATGTTACATCTCACAAGAAACTTGTGGAGGAAGTGGACTAAACTGGAATGTCAACACTTCTCCTTTGTGGCCATGCTTTTTGAGACAATGGCATCCGTCAACGTAGTGTGCACTATACATAAATTATTTCAATCCGATTTTGAATATTCATTCTACTTTCCACAACCATGTACCGCGTTTGTAGCAGCACTCCACGGGCAGCCTGTATGTGTAATAAAGCACTTCCATGACGACTTGGGACTGGCGTTTTCTTTATCTTGCATATAAAAGGGAAATTTGTGAGTCTGCTCAATGTTTAGCATACTTCTGACATGCAACAAACTTAACTTGGCATGTGGGTAGCTTCCAGACTATACACAATGCAAAATGTATAAAAATACTTTGGTATGTTGCACGAATAAGTAATGGTAGGAGCGACATAACCCTGGTGGCAACCAGCATAGGAGCATGCACAATAAGGAAGAACGCATTTGACTGCAAGAACACGGAAGTAAGGCAAACCCCAAACACATGGGCAGGGGCACATGCGAAATGTTAACAATCGGAGCGTCTTAGAACGCGTCCACGATGCTGGACCATCCCCAGCATCCGTATCCGGCCCAGCGCGGGTTGGCTTGGCAGAAGGCGGCAGGGCGTTCGGCGGAACGGTGGTAGAGCCCGCTGCAGCGGGCCTGGATCGACTGGGTTCATCCTCTGCAGCGGAAGTCAATGCCTCGGGTGCTGTGGGTGGTAAAACAGAAATCCTCGGGGGATCAATCTGCAACCGCTTTGGCTCGTTGGACACATCGGACCCCAGCAAGCCAATTTTTGGGGATTGCGAAGCAACACGCGGAGGAATGAACGGTTTCAAACGCGATGGGTGATTGAACCGGCGATGGCAACCCACCTGAATGCGTACGCATTGTAGACTCCTGACCTCGACCACCTCAACAGGCCCGTGCCACGGCCTGTATAATTTGAGAGGTTCCAACAGGCACCCGAGGGCAATGAAGCCAGGCCTGGTCGCCGACAGACCACGGCAAATCGAGTCCTGAACATGGTGGGGCAGAGTCTGTTTAACGCTTCCACCGGTCGTGTCTAACTGGGTGTCAATAGGCGGCACATTCTCCCTTCCGTACATGAGGGGGAAAAAAGGAGAAAAGCCCGTGGAAGCGTGAGAACGCTGGGCACGTGTAAATTACAATCGGCCTGCTTGTCAGTGACAGTGTGGCAAAGCATGGCGGGTAGAGTCCGGTTCAAACGCTTGACCATCCCGTCGGTCTGAGGATGGTAAGGCGACGTCCTGATTTTTCTAGTGCCCAAAGCGTCGCAGACGTCACGGAGCAGTTTAGAAGAGAAATTGCGACCTTGGTCCGTAAGTAATTGTTCTGGGGCAACCTTGTCCATCACGTACCCATTCAAAAACGCATCGGCGATGGAGGACGCCGACTGATCGGGCAAGGGCCTGTGCCATCGGCCACTGAGAAAAAGTATTCCATACCCACCAAAATGTATTTGTTACCCCTGGGAGTGATTGGAAATGTGTTTAGGACATCAAGAGCTACCAACTCATTGATACGCGTGACCGAGATGGATCACAATAGTGGATGACCCTTCTGCCGCGGCGGTTTCCGCCGAGCGCAATCGGCGCAGGAGCGAATAAATTTAGAAACGTCACCTGTCATGCCGGGCCAAAAGTAATCACAATGCAGCGTCAGCAAAAAATTTTTTTAATGCCCAAGGTGTAACAATATCTCGCTGTGCAACACGCGAAGCAAGCTGTCACGGAGGGCAACGGGAACAACCATCTACTATCGATCCAACATATCCTCCCTCCACATCAACAGGCCGTCATGAAAATCCAACCGGCCACCGTCAAACGATGTAGGAAAATCGGATGTGTGTTCAGCACAACGTCGCAAAGTAGCCGAGGAATCGTCCCATCAGCTGCGGAAGCTGCAGGACGCTCGTCAGCCAGCACATGAGCAGAGCGCAAGTCCTGGCTGACATGCTACCCCAGGGGTGGGCAAATGTTTTGACTCGTGGGCCACAATGGGTTCTAAAATTTGACGGAGGGGCCGGGCCAGGAACAGATGGATGGAGTGTTTGTGTGAACTAATATAAATGACATGTAAAAATCATTACATGAAAGGATTTGGCCTTTAACAGGTAGCAAAGCATTTATTTGCAAGGCAATTCAACAAATTGCAGGAACATGAACAATACAAAAACACGTTGTAACTCCCGGTCAAAGTGCGCCATCTAATGGGGAAATGGAGGCATTACAGGAGAAAGATAAAATTTAATTTAATAATAATATTTCGACACGTTCGGCAGGCCTGATTAAAAAGCCCAATGGGCCGTATACGGCCCGGGGGCCGTACTTTGCCCATGTCTGTGCTACCCCCATTGGCCGCAACGCAAGCCTCAAAAGCCGGTCGAACACGCGAGGCGGGAATAGATAGAAGTTGAAAAATCACATCGGAAATTATAGTAGCGGCAGCCCCGGTATCGACGAGGACGCAAACATCGACGCCCTGAATGGAGCCAGGTACCGTTGAGGATCCCGTGGCCGCCGCGACTACGCGACGTGCCAGCTTTTTTCCCATTGCGTTATCGAAACAGGCCAACCTTTTGTAACAGTTCCCGAATCGTGAAACGAACAACGTCGCGCCGTCATGTGAAAAGCATCAGGTGACGAGTTTGGCCGGGTGTTCGATGTGTAACCGACTCGCCTGTACGGGAGGATGTTGGCCCCGTCGGAGAAGGAGTCGATGCAGCCAGCGGAGTCGGAGGACGACACCGGCAATCCCGTGCGGAATGGCCCAACACTTGAAGCAGGTGACGGGCAGGCTGGCGGGCTGGCCAGTCGTAGGACCCCGCCGTCGATTCCAGCGAGGAACAGACGCCGCGAGGTCTCATTCCTCCGAAGGGGGCATTCCCTCCGGAATGTGGACGACTTTAGTTGGCGACCAAACCTATTGGCTCACCATCGCGGCTGGGATCCCCGGTCCATGCAACAAGCCACCTGCGCCCAACGTTGTGGGTTTCTCGTGCGCGTTCAGGCATCTAGCGGCCCATCGGGACGTCTGCGGTTCGTGACCGCAAGCAGGTAGAACAACCCTCATGTCCCTTCCCAAAGCCAGCATTCTCTCCATAATCAACGAGTCGGGGACTTCTTGCTTGACATCAGGGTAAGCGGCCACAGCCAACGCCATCAAAGCGCCTGCGCTGCATGAAACTCTCCTCGAGAATTGAGAAAGGCGGGTTCGTACACCTCGTTAATTTCCGCGTACACATTTTTTTGTGTGTGTTCCTGGGTAGTAAGTGTTATTTCCTATTTGCTTATGCCTCGAAAGTAAAAAAAAAAATGGTTATTATTTCACACAAACTTTGCTTTCGTGACCAGGACACAAAAGCAAAGTTAATAGTCCACTCCATTAATAACAATGTGTAACAAACTCTTTATTTTTTGTTCCTGGGTCGGAAGTGTTATTTCTTAATTGCTTATGCCTCAAAAGTTAATAAAAAAAATGGCTATTATTCCCCACAAACTTTGCTTTTGTGACCAGGACAGTGATATTTTGAAATGTAACTATTTTCAATGAGAACACGTGGTGTGCATTTGTGTTGTTCGTTCACGTAAAGTCCTGGTCACAAAAGCAAAGTTTGTGGGGGGGGGAATATCCATTTTCTAGACTCTTTAGGCATGAGCAATTAACAAAAACAACACTTAGTAGCCAGGAACAAACAAAAAAAAGTGTTACATCGTGTAATTACAATGCGCATCGTTGGGCGACGCAGGCAGGTTTGTGGATAAATCCGCCTGCTGAAAGCCACGCAGAGGACGGGCAGTGGGGGTGGTGGTGGTGGGTGGGTGGGCATCTTCTTCGTCTCTTCGTCCTCGTGGCCGTCAACATCTTGCGATGTTTATCGGTCACCCGTTCAGTCACTCGGTGTGTGGGGTGTGGGTGGTGGTGTGGTGGTGGTGGTGACAAGTGGCGGCCTGGGTAGGCGACCAATGAGGCGTCGGAGGCGGGGAGCTTCGCCGGCGTCCCCCGCCTCTATAAAGGAGGAAGCCGCTCGCTCGGCCCGGCTCAGCCGCGCTACCTTCCTCGCTGTCAGCTGGTCGCCACCGCCACCGCAGGTAAAGTTGCAGTGGGGAGGGAGGGGTGAGAGTGAGAGAGAGACGGCGCCAGGTCAGCTAAAGAGGGCCTCGGGTGACCGAACCTGCCCAGCCGAGTCCCCCGAGTTCGACTCCCGGCTGCGGTGGAGCTGTGTGGGTACCAAGGTTGTGGAGATTTTGTCCCCATTCTGGCGTTAACTCGGTCTGTCGACCTCTCCGGGGGCTGATTTTTTTGTTTAAATAAAAAAAACCGGGCACCTGTTCGTGAGAAGACAAAAAAACAGCGCTGGTCCTTGTGGAAATACTGGGTCGCGCCATGCGAATGTGGAATCGCCACCGTTTGTCACCGGCTGTTGACAGATATGAAGTACCCACCAACCACTCGTTTGAGTTGAGGGACTGATAACTCGTGCAGTACAGTGCAGTCGTTCTAATTTAATAATAATTTCCAGCGCTTTGTCACTCCAGACATCACTTGTCATCAAACGCCACACTCAATAATACATAATACCATAGACACATTCAGCATACACGCATTCACAACATCAAATACTACAAAAACATCAAATACTACTGGGTAGAGAGACGTATACCATAATTGTTGTACATAGCCACAAACACAGCCTGGAAATCCCCGCATTCAACTGCATCCGTCCCTCCCTCCCTCCGATGCCCTTCTCGATTCACGACGACAGAGCAACGCTGCAAATCGCACAGATAAGCTGGTGGTAGAATGGTGGTGGTGGCACAATCGATAGATTTGGTTTCCCAGGAATCAACGGCGTGTGAAAAAAAAACTGAACAGGTCCTATCTAGATTCTTAGTTCTTTCGGTAAAGTCACGTTGAAGGGAAACAACAAAATAATGAAATATATATATAAAACAATCTATTTATATTATTATTTTGTTGTTTCCCTTCAACGTGACTTTACCGAAAGAACTAAGAATATGAATTACTGCAGTCACGAAAGCTTTAAATCAAAATTTAGGTCCTATCTATATTTTTTTTAATTTAAAGCTTTCGTGACCGCAGGGATTAAATATTCTTTTTTTATTATTATTTTACTGTTTCCCTTCTACGTGACTTTACCGAAAGAACCAAGAATATAAGGTCCTATCTAGATTTGAAGCGCTTCTGGTTGTTGCTGCTGATGATGATGATGGTGTCAAAGACGATGGCAGTTTTCCTGTAGGGAGAACAGGTACGGTCAAACGTATCAACTGTTAATCCACCTTGGCACTGGTAAATTCTCCAGCAACAATAGAACGAATCTAGATTTGAAGTTTTCGTGACTCCAGGGATCAATACTCTTTGGTTCTTTCGGTGAAGTCACGTAGGTAGAAAATACAATTTAAAAAAACGGGCTAGCTTACCTACGTGACTTTACCGAAAGAACCAAAAAGTATGAACAGGTCCTGGGGGAGGGAATCGGCATCTGTGTTCGTGTGGGCAGGAATTCGATTTGTACCGAGGTGTCGTACAGGTATTGCTGTGTTGAACTTTATGCGATTGTCACCTATCTACGAGAAGAATATTAATTCCTGCAGTCACGAAAGCTTTAAGTCAAGATTTGTACAGGTATTGTGTTAAACTTTATTTCAAAGTGGTGTGTTTGTAGACCGAGTGCTGACTGACAAAACGTATGTGGGTTTGGTCTGCGGGAAAAGTGCAGTCAGACTTAAACCCAGGGCACTTGTTGAAGGTGGATTGCGATTTAATGAATGAAACAACCGGGGTAATTTTGAGAGAAAAAAAGCTGAATGCGATCATGACCATCAACTTAGCAATGTGTCTGAAGAGTTAACATTTACAATAGTTGCACATTATCACCCACGATGCCATGCGGACCAGACACATGGACGCCAACAGAGAGCAACAATATGAAAAGTGCGCAAGGAAGCATTTTCAGTTTCAGTTTATTTTGGTACAGCCCTGTGAGCCATTCGGCTCTTGAATCGGGTGCAACCGCAACAAACAAAAAACATGAACAAGAAAACATCTTAAAGTGATTATGTGACTGTGCATGGGGTGAGAGGCGAGGTTAGGCGTGATGGAATGAGACTGACTACCATAACCTAGTGAAGGAAATTCCACGTTCCCATGGTTGGGACAGGTCATTCTATAGGACGGCCACTTATGGTCGCTGACGCCGTGATGGGCTTCTTTTGTCATTCCGTTTGCTCTGTGCCTCCTGTAACGTTCCCCTTCCGCTGTAATGTGCACTGATGCCTACGTTCTCGAGGAGGGATATTGGCACGTAGAAATGAAGAGTGATTTGTTGAGGAACACCAATTGCGCAAAGAGGAAACGCATGGGTCGGGAACAGAAAGAGAGTTGGTGGCGTGTCGTGAGATAGGTTCTTTGTAAATAACTCTTTGGTTCTATTGGGTAAAGTCGCGTAGGTGAAAATAAAAATAACAAAAAATCACGACGTTTCGGCCACAACACAAGCGGCCTTCATCAGGTGAAGGGATGAGACTCTCTGGAGGAAAGCGCTGGAGGTAAATAATTTGTACAATGCACTAGGAGGCACATTATGGAGGTGGAATCACAATAAATAAAAAAAAATCTGCCATAAGCAAATCAACAAATTTGGTTCACTTATATTTGTTGTCCTGGGACATTTTCCTTGCCGGTAAGAACATGAAAGTGAGAAAAGTGCGGTCAGACATCTGAACTTTTAACAAAACAACAAAAAAGTAAAGCCTGGCCTCTAAGAATATATGTAATGTGCTGTAGTTGCATAAAGAGGATGCCAGAAAACGGCACGGCAGGAAGTGAAAGCGATTGAAAAGTTTGGTTAGAACGTTACAGGAAAGAGCCGTAGGATATACTGTGACCCGGAAGATGAGGTTGCAATGTGTCAGAGGGTTGGTGAAGGCAGGGAGCATCGACGGGGGGGGGGGGGACAAAAAAGACAATACAGTAAAACCTTGGATTGCGAGCATGATTCGTTCCGGAAACGTGTTTGTAATCCAAAGCACTCGTATATCAAAGCGAATTTACCCATTAGAAATCATGGAAACTCAGGTGATTCGTTCCACAACCCAAAAATATTCGTGTAAAATGATTAATACAAAATACCTTTTTATATTTTTATTATTTAAATTTAGTTTAAAGGAATCGCATTTATTAATTAAGTTTAATCGTGGCTGGTGTGAGGGAGACGAGAGAGAGAAGAGAGGAGGGTTATTGTGTAGGACGACTTTCACTGTCACTAACGGAATCGCTGCTATCTGTTGTCTCACTGGAATATTTTTCTTTTTGTGCGACTTTAACAAGGAACCTATCCAATGACACTTGGCAGAAATGTGACATTGCATTGTCGGGCCATTGTTGCAGTACAGTTACTAAAGAACAGTCACTACACTTGGACACAAAATTAAAAAAAATGCTTTACGCACACACACGTGGTCACAACACTATACTGTAGTAAACAGTATACACGTGGTCACTATACTTTAGTAAACAGTATACGCTCGCACGGATGTTGACTATACGAGTGAGGCACGCCGACTGAGACCGAGCATGGGAGACGATTACCCACAATCGCGCAGCGAGAGAGAGAAGAACCATCGGCTCAGATGTGATCACGTGACGCTCGGCAGACAAAGCGTATACGTACTACTCGTATTGCAAGACCTCGCTCGTCTTGCAAAACACTCGCAGACCAAGTTACTCGCAATCCAAGGTTTTACTGTACGATAATGTATTTTTGCTGTAGTCCCCTCTGCTGTCCACAACGTAACCCCACAGCAGCCTATAACACCTGGTTTATGCATGCTGGTCACCCATCCAAACATTATCCAGGCACAGCCCAGTAAACATGAAATGTTGGCCCAACGTTGGTCTAATGGTTCCAACCACGTGGCAACGTTGGCCCAACATTGCATGTTTACTGGGAAGCCTCAAGCTTCTGAGATCCGGTACATTCCGGATGAGTTGGTTATAGCTGATGATATATATTAAAATGCAACAGTGTTTTGGTGTCTAGTGTGTGCGTGCATGTATGTTTATTTGCTGATGCATAAGTGTTTATTTATGTACACCTTATTTTTGTTTTTTTTGCGTGGCAATTGAGAAACCAAATTCATGTGAGGGATTTTCACGTTGGCACAGGTCATCAGGTTGAGCCATCAACATTCCCTACACTTAAGCCTGGTTTTATCATTTTTTAAAATCACTATCTGGATGTGAACCCAGAATCTCAGTGCGTATGGCTCAGTGATCTATCCTGGACATTATTAAACCACTGAGCCACCTGTCTCGCGTTAAAAGTCGAAACTTAAAATCTTAAATGACTTCACAAGGTAGCATGATGCGCTTCCACATGTGTTATCAACACGAGTTCGCCCCACCTTTTCCAATATCTTCCTGATCTTTACTCCATTGCTGTTGCCATTGTTAGGTCCCATTGTGCCGAGTCTATGTCTGCTCTCTGCCTATCTGCTGCTAGGCCTTCCCCTTTTACATCCTCCGCGTGTCAGATTCCATTCCATCAGTTTTCGTCAAAACTTCTGTGATATCCATCCTTAACAGATGTCCGAGCCATTGTAGTCATCTCTTTTTTTTATAAAAGCACTGATTGCCTCTTGTTCCACATCCTCTCTCTGACATCTCCGTTGCTACTTTCATTGGGCAATAAGGTATCACGCAGGCAATGCTGCTCAGACGCATTAAAGCGTCACTCAGTAGCCTTTATGATAGACCCATTTTCCACATCCCATGTGTCAACACTGACACAGCCCTATCCAGTCTTAGCCTCATCGACAGAGCGACATCACGATCCCAACTTCGAGTAGAGTGGTCTAAATAGAGAGCCACGCAGCCACACCACGACCCACGAGAACGCTGCCATTGACGTCCTTCACCTCTCTCTGTTGCCGTCTCTTGCCTTGCAGCCTGTTCTGACTCTGAGACGGGAAGAAGATGAAGATGAAGCTGCTGCTCGTCGCTCTGCTGGGGGTCGTGGCGTTGGTCTCTGCGGCCGTAGCCTCTCCTTTCCACGACCCGGAGCTGTCGCCCGAGTGGGAGTCCTGGAAGGAGTTCCACGGCAAGACCTACGGCGAGGTCGGTCGTGACCACAACGCACGGCGCCGCCCGCGTGGCGCGGCCATGCGCTCGCACCGCAAGAGCGTTGTAGAGCGACTGTTTGTTCAGAGATGTCCACGTTGTAGAGCGTTGTAGAGCGGCTCCTTGTTTAGAGATGTCCACAATGTAGAGCGTTGTAGAGCGGCTCCTTGTTCAGAGATCCCTACGTTGTAGAGGGTTGTAGAGTGGCTCCTTGTTCAGAGATCCCCACGTTGTAGAGGGTTGTAGAGTGGCTCCTTGTTCAGAGATGTCCACGTTGTAGAGCGTTGTAGAGCGGCTCCTTGTTCAGAGATCCCTACGTTGTAGAGCGTTGTAGAGTGGCTCCTTGTTCAGAGATCCCCACGTTGTAGAGGGTTGTAGAGTGGCTCCTTGTTCAGAGATGTCCACGTTGTAGAGCGTTGTAGAGCGGCTCCTTGTTCAGAGACGTCCACGTTGTAGAGCGTTGTAGAGCGGCTCCCTGTTCAGAGACGTCCACGTTGTAGAGCGTTGTAGTGCGGCTCCTTGTTCAGAGATGTCCACGTTGTAGAGCGTTGTAGTGCGGCTCCTTGTTCAGAGACGTCCACGTTGTAGAGCGTTGTAGTGCGGCTCCCTGTTCAGAGACGTCCACGTTGTAGAGCGTTGTAGTGCGGCTCCCTGTTCAGAGACGTCCACGTTGTAGAGCGTTGTAGTGCGGCTCCTTGTTCAGAGACGTCCACGTTGTAGAGCGTTGTAGAGCGGCTCCTTGTTCAGAGACGTCCACGTTGTAGAGCGTTGTAGTGCGGCTCCTTGTTCAGAGACGTCCACGTTGTAGAGCGTTGTAGTGCGGCTCCCTGTTCAGAGATGTCCACGTTGTAGAGCGTTGTAGTGCGGCTCCTTGTTCAGAGACGTCCACGTTGTAGAGCGTTGTAGTGCGGCTCCCTGTTCAGAGACGTCCACGTTGTAGAGCGTTGTAGTGCGGCTCCCTGTTCAGAGACGTCCACGTTGTAGAGCGTTGTAGTGCGGCTCCTTGTTCAGAGACGTCCACGTTGTAGAGCGTTGTAGAGCGGCTCCTTGTTCAGAGATGTCCACGTTGTAGAGCGTTGTAGAGCGGCTCCTTGTTCAGAGACGTCCACGTTGTAGAGCGTTGTAGAGCGGCTCCTTGTTCAGAGATGCCTACGGAGATAAACTAAATAACATTTTTTTTTTATTTTACCAGGTAAGGCCCACTGAGCTGTATAGCTGTTATTCAGAAATTGATAGCCAAATGGTCTGAATGCACATGGATTCTAAATGTGGAGGGAAAAACCGGAGAACCTGTAGAATAATCCACGAGACCACGGGGAGACAGAGACATGCAAACTCCAAATATACAGGCGTCAGGGTTGGGATTGAACCCACGACCTCCTGCATAGCAGGTGAGGTTGTTAACATCTTGCCACCATGGCATCAATCTCTATGGTGTTCATCCTCTCCATTGCACACAATTCCAGGTCAGCGGTTTCGTAATTGCGCTGCACGTAGCCTACCGTGCTAATCGGAGGTGCCCAAACCAACTAACTCTTCTCCACGGTCGGTGTGATGTCTCGAATATTTATTCGTTCTCTAATCCCAAACTGTGAAGCCACATAATACCTTAACACTGTGCTGGTTGCTTATGCATCGCATCCCTTGACGTGTCGCTCTGCCTGCTGTTGCTGCAGAATGAGGAGGGCTGGAGGAGGATGATTTGGGAGCAGAACCTCAAGAAGATCGCGGTGCACAACCTGGAGCACTCCATGGGCAAGCACACCTGGCGCATGGGCATGAACCATTTCGGGGACATGGTGAGCCCTCTGCAGACTGCTCTTTCATCTGGATGTCGACTCAGGTCCCTCATCCCTCTGGGATTGACAAAATGCGGAGCACTTTGGCTGAAGTTGACACTGATTCCCCCTACGGAGAGACAGGCTCCCGCCACAGGAATGCGGAATTCCCAAAAGTATCTCGCACCAACAACAAAGATGAGCCACGCCCAATGCACACGTGAGCAGGGAATCATGGGACTAGGTTGATGCTGAGATGGTACGAAGAAGGATGCTGATGTGGTTAGTGCATTGCATTATGAACCTGCTGACCTGCGTCGTTCGATTACCAGCTACGGCTAACGTCTGATGTCTAAACCGGTCCTGTACCTCTGAACCCCACCCATTCACCAACCCGTGCTGACCAGCATGGTGAAGTATGGTCAAACAATCATCAGGACCCACACGGCATGGGGAGGCCTTCACCCAGCAGTGGATTGACAAAGAGCTGTAGTCACGTTTTAACCATGAAGCTCACTTGACTCGATAACCCGGTTTAACTACCGTCGTGGTAACCTTTGTCCGTTCGCTGTGAACGCATGTGTCTCGTTCAGACCGGGGAGGAGTTCCAGCAGGTGATGCTGGGCTTCAGGGGCTGGAACGGCACCAGCAAGGCCCCCCGCGGCGCCACGTTCATGGCGCCCGCCTTCTTTGAGGCCCCCGAATCCGTCGACTGGAGGAAGCAGGGCTACGTCACCGACGTCAAGAACCAGGTACCGCCCGGTCCAGGTCAAGATCAAGCACCTCTTTTCCCATGGCACAACCGAGCTGCATCGGGGGCCCGTGCAGCAGAAAAAACCACGCAGCACAGCACAGGATCAGCCCGCTTGGTTTTTTCCACTGCAGAAGCCGAGCTATGCCGTTGGTGCCACACACAGTACAATTAACTCGTCGAAAGTGTGCAGATGATGCCAGAAGTGCCATGGCAGCCTTGCTCGGCCAAGCTAGCACCAACCAGACCGTGGAGCCTGTTTTTTTTTTTTACGGATTGAGTCGAATGGAGACACGTAGCTCTTCCAAGTGTTGGCCCATAAAAAAATTGTGCTGGGCCTTCCTTACAACGGCCCATGGCAATGCAGCATCCTCTTGAGCGCCAATCTGTGGGTGCCACACCGAAGGCCTGCCTTGGTAACCTGCCCTCCTCCTCACTGCACACGTGTGCCACCCATCACAACCTCCTCCTCTCTCCCCCATCCCCCATCTTGATTACATCTACAACGCTTCCGAAGTTCCATTTAAAAATGTCCAAGTTGCTTACCCTCGTTACCTACAGCTAGCGGAGGTCATAAAAAACTGATTTGTTCCCAGAAATCTGTACACCTCTGAAGGCATTTTTGCAGAACTCTGTCATCTGCAGTTAATTACTGTTAATCCGCGGATTGACGTAAAATTGTGATGCTAGAGGACACAAGGTTGCTTTCTCGTAACCCTTGAACACGATGCACATGGGCTCAGCCATGTGTGTACCTGAGCCCGCGTCACTGAGTCATGGTCCTTTCATTTCCATTTTTCCGCCCTGCTTGCGGACAGGATATGCCTGAAGAGTGTTTACGAACAGACATGTGGTTCCGTACTCTTTGGTTCTTTCGGTAAAGTCACGTGGGTAGAAATAAAATCAAACAAATCACGACGTTTCGATCGCAACACAAGCAATCTTCATCAGGTGGAACAACCACAGCAAGAAAAAATGCTGAAGTAGGCGAGAGAGCTGCAGTGGCAAGAGGTTATATAGGTAAGAAAGGGGGGAGGAGCAAGGGGGGAGAGAGAGAGAGGGGAGGTGGGGGTGTAGAGCAGGGGAAGGGGAGCTGCGTGGGCCGTAGGGGGAGAAGAAGTGAGGCTGGGTGGGGAAGTAGGCGGGGCTAGAAGTGGGAAGCTGAGTGTGGGACTCGGAAAAATAGACTAGTACTCGGCGAGTATGATGGAAACAACCACAACCAGTTAAGGCTTTACCTGGTTAATAAAATCCTTCCGATGATTGCTCAATTTGTATCCATCTTCTCGGTTGAAGTTACGTCTTTATATATCTGGATGGCTTCATGAACAAACCTTTGATAGTTGCCCGAAGGTTTGCAGGGTACCTTGGTCTCGGAAAAAAACAATATCATGCAAGCCCACAGCGTTACAACAATGGTCAGCCACGGCGGAGGTATTAGTCCTTCCGTGTTTCAGATCAGCCTTGTGTTCGCGAACACGGTCCGAGGCATGTCGTTTCGTTTCCCCAATGTAATTGCTACTGCAGGGAAACTCAGTTTGTAGACTCCAGGATATTGCATGTCAGGAATGACATCCTTCACAGATGGGATTAGATCACGGATTTTGTGTACTGTACTGAATCGGACCTGGATCTTGTGTTTAAGATTTGGAAACTATTTTTGGTAACACCTGCTATGTATGGTAAAGTGATGAATTTGATTGGCTTCTCAGGGGATTGTTTCTCCATGGTTGGAGAAACAGCTTTGCGAATAATGCGGTCCGAGTACCCTTTCATCTTGAGGGCCTGGTGTACGTGTTCCAGTTGCAGGGTGGTTCCCGTTCACCGCTTAATCTCGAAACGCGCAAGCGGCTGAGCGTTAATTTTACTCGGAGAGGCACAGATCCGTTGTCTTTAAAGATTCTGTACTCGCCGCAGAGAACCGTAGCGACACGACACTCTACGATAGTTGGCGCCAAACTGCCAAACGCTCTCCCACATGACCTTGTGGAAGCCTCGGTACCAATAAAGTGATTTTATTCTTTCTTTCGTTTCCATTCCGATGACGTAAGTGGAAAGTAAGTGCTCATTTATGCGTGCGCGTACGTGAACGTAAACGGAAGGAAAACTGATGACGTACGTACATGTACATCATCTATTTGAACGCAAAGGGTTAACCTGTCTATCCGCAGGGCGACTGCGGCTCTTGCTGGTCGTTCAGCACCACGGGCTCCCTCGAGGGGCAGCACAAGCGCAAGACTGGAGTGCTCGTGTCGCTGAGCGAGCAGAACCTGGTGGACTGCTCCTCGACCGAGGGCAATCACGGCTGCAATGGAGGACTCATGATCAACGCGTTCAACTACATCAAGAAGAACGGGGGCATCGACTCGGAGGAGTCGTACCCGTACAAGGGACAGGTGAGGGAGTTTAGTGAGCCTGTGCCTGGAGGTCATGAAGTCTATGGTCTAGAGCAGTGGTTCTTCACTTTCACTGCAGCCTGCACCCCTTTGGTTCTCAGAAATGGCATCTGGAACCCCTCGGGGGTGTGTGCACCCCAGGTTAAGAACCACCGGTCTAGAGACACCATGAAAGACCAGTTTGTCACTCATTTAGAGCAGTGTTCTTCACGAACTTTCAGAGGGGGCGGGGTGGCACTTTTGCCAATAAGATGTCAGTGTGAGGGCCGCCACACATTGGGTTTGACAGCAGCACGATGATGGGGAGGGTGTTTTCACATGTTGTGTATTGCCGGGGGCCAAACGCCAGGGGCCGCACTTTTAAGGCCATCAGGGGCTGCAAGTGGCCTGTGGGCCTTGCAATGAAGAACGCTGCTCTAGAGATCGGTCAGTCAGCTTACTGTCTAGAGCCCCTATCAGAAACACCTCAAGGCTTACAATGGCAACGCTGACGGTGTTTGTAATACGTGGTGTATGCGTCGCACAGGTCGAAACGTGCAAATACGACCCCAAGAACAAGGCCGCGGAGGTCACCGGCTACGTGGAAATTCCCGAAGGGGACGAGGAGGCCCTCAAGAACGCCGTGGCCTCCGTTGGCCCGGTGTCGGTCGCCATCGACGCCAGTCTTAACTCCTTCCTGTACTACATCTCCGGTGAGTGCTCATTTATGCGCAAGTGGGCAAAAGTTCCCGCTCGGACCTGACCCGTGCCCAAACCGTGCCAAACCATGCCGTGAAGTCAAGTTTCTAGATCTGCCCCCCACCCCTTCACTTAAAGCTTTGCATGTTAAATGAGGAAAGAAAATCTGATAGAAGAGACGCTTTTATATTTTGGGGGAGGAAGGGACAGTTTAAAAGATAAGGAACTGGCCACTATGGAAAATACCAGGCGGAAGAGATGGCCTTTAATTGAACGTGATGGGGGTCTGTCCTTGAGAAGGAAGTCGATCTCTTCTTTAATTTTGTCACATTTTGGGCTTATCCACATTGGTCTCCTCGCATACCTCTTTTTAACTGCGTATTCACGATTTTCCTGCTTCTTCTTGCGCGGGGATGGAGCGGCAGTGCAGTGGTTAATGCACTGAATTCTATTTCGGAACACCGCTAATGCCAATGGCAAGATATATCTCAACGAGTGCAGGATTTTCCCCTTTACCTACAAGCTCTGACCAGTTTGACGTATGGCCAAACTGCCTCCATGACCGACACGGAATGGGAGAGGCCTTCATCCGGCAGTTGGTTGACAAAAGGGCTGTACACATTTGGATGGGGAGGGAAACATTTTTTTACCATAAAATTATACTGGAAACGCTGTACATGCAAATAAACTGGAGGTGACGGCTGCTATTATTGCTGTGGTGTTTTCTCTGACCTCTAGGCATCTACAAGGACAAATTGTGCAGCCACATAATTAACCACGCCGTGTTGGTCGTGGGCTACGGTGTGGATGAGAAGGGAGACAAATTCTGGCTCGTCAAGAACAGGTGCGTTGCTACGAGACGATTATTCCAATCGGGCAAGAGCAGCCACTAAATCGTCGCAAACGTATATACAACATTAAAACTAAAATTACGGCCTTAATATTCTCACGACGTTTCGGCCACAACACAAGCGGCCTTCATCAGGTGAAGGGGCGAGACTGTCTGGTAGGACAGCGCTGGAGTGTACTACATCTCCGGTGAGTGCTCATTACACTCCAGCGCTGTCCTACCAGACAGTCTCGCCCCTTCACCTGATGAAGGCCGCTTGTGTTGTGGCCGAAACGTCGTGAGAATATTATTGTGTTATTTTATTTTATCAATTTATTATTTTATTATCATTCTACGTGACTTTACCGAAAGAACCAAAGAAGATAAATCATTGCAGTCACGAAAGCTTTAAATCGAAATAAAATTACGGCCCTTTGTCAAACCCACTGCTGGAGGAAAGGCCTCCCTATGCGTCGCCTCGGATGGTGACACTGCTCTGCAGTGGGTGCCGAATTTGGTCAATGGAGAGGTTTTTTTGTAATCAACAGATTACCTAGGATTCCACTGATTACCCAGGGTTCCACTGCCCAGTTGTGTGTATGTATGTTGAACTTCTTTCGCACCGTACGTAGCCAATGGTGCTAATCTATAAACTATAAGCATTTTTTTTAATTTTACCAGGTAAGGCCCACTGAGCTATATAGCTCTTTTTCAGAAGCGATTTGGCCGCAATTTATAGCTAAACACAGTGGGCTTATCATATGGAAATTTACATGAGCCAAATACTGGGAACGCATGTTTCGAATGTGGAGGGAAAATCTGGAAGACCTTAAGAAAAATCTACGTGGCCACGGGGAGAACATGCAAACTCCAAATTTACAGGTGTCAGGGTAGGGATTGAACCCACGACCTCCTGTATACCAGGCGAGGTAGTCAACATCTCGCCACTGTGCCGCCCTCATCATTTGGGGGTACCATTGGCCTCTGAGAGGCTTCTCTGCCTTGAGGCACGGTTAGCTCTACACCAAAGACCGCACGCCTCTAAACCGGAACCCCTTCATACTCTTTATACGTCACGGTTTAGTTTCACCCAAATGTTTATCATCTCAAGGTAAAACTTCACCTTTTGTACCGCACCATTAAATTGTGGCCTTCTATTCCAATATCGAACCCAGCATTGGAATAGTCTCCCAGACAGTATGAGAATCGTTGATAGGGCTTTAAGTTTTAAACAATGTTATTGGAATTATCATTATTAATTGCATGTGTGTTATTTTAAAAGTTGTGGATGCTTAAAATGTATATGTAATTGTTAGTTAGTTATAGCGTTAAGTCAAGAAATACCAAGTCTGCGCTTTCTGGTTGCCCCGGGTGAAAAATAGGCTCTGTCCTTGCCAGTGAGGACATCTGTGAAACTACTGGACATCTGTGAAAAAGTGCTTCATAACTCATCGGGTTCATCCAGTCTAAATACAGATTATGCAGTGGATTGGCAAAAGGGATGTACATATACTGTACACGCACACAGAGTGTAAGCATCGGCATTAAGGGGACAAAGGTGGCTGGGTGTGGTGCTGACCTCACCACCGCCACTATGTGACCTACCGACTGTAATGAATGTATGTTGAATTTCTTTCGTACCGTACGTCGCCAGCTGTGCTAACCGGAGGTGCGGGGAAAATAGCTACTGACGGTGCTTGTCTCCTCCGTCTGTATGTGATTGCGTTTTTGTCTATCCGTGTGTGTGTGTGCAGCTGGGGAGTCCAATGGGGAGAGAAGGGATACGTGCGCATGGCTCGTGATGACAACAACCTGTGTGGCATCGCTGTTACTGCTAGCTACCCACTGGTGTAATAATCAGCTGGTCTGCTTACCTCCTAACACTAGAGAGAGAGATATAGCACAACTCAATGTCCCATTGGTAATTCAAGTAAAAACCATGTTAAAGCGTTTAGCTCCCCAAACGAGCAATTCCTTGTGTTCAGTTCTATTAGAGACCCTAACCCAGAGGTGGAAAGTTGACCATGATGGGGCAGTGGAGGGGGGGAGGGGGGGCGGACGGAGAGGGGGGGGGGGTAAATTGACAGCTGTTGACTATCCACATATTTGGTACTCATTTTATCAGCCCGCAGTTTATTAATGGGCTGAGTTAGCCCCCAGTAAGGATTTGAACTGCGTACTCGCTAACAGAGGAACCAGTCCGCATATCGTTTTAAATCTTGTCATTCTTTAGCGATGATAACGAACGCTGGTTTACATGCGTAGAGGTTTTACCCTTTTTGGCAACACAACAGGAGGTGTTGAGATGTCTGAACACCAAATGGACACCTTTTGCAAGTCATCAAGTCTGCATTAGCCACGCATAAGAAAAATAAGAAATGGTAAAACCCTTTCTAAAATAAGAAAGGTGAAACGCATTTCTTATTTTTCATAATTTTAATACTGCAAAAAATGTCCCATAGATAACGTTGGCTCCGTTTGAAGAAAACTTGTTCAGGCTTACTTTTAAATTTCTGTGAAGGAAGGTGTAAACCAAAACAACAATACCCCCGTGGCAATGCGGCAGTGACATTGCCAAGCAGTGGCACATTCGCCGCTTGTTGCAGAGCGTTTTGCGGTTTGATCCATCCTTGGCGGCCGCCCTGGTTAATACTGCGGGTGTATTATCCGAAGGCATACAGGGATTCCTCTACTTACGAACATTAAACTTACGAACTTTCAGAGATACCAACAAACCTGGTCCGTATGTCCAATTGCCTGTTCGGACCGAGAGTCGTACGTTCAACCGCCGCAAAATGGATGGCGGTGGCATCTTACATCTGCAGAACGTGAATAAGCGATGGCATCTACATCTACAGAAGATTATACAACGTTTAAATTCATTCCCCGTGTTTAGTGTGCATTCCCTACAACATGTTTGGAATCGACAGGAGTAAAGTTGGACTTACGAACAAATCGACTTACGGACAGACCTTTGGAACCTAACTTGTTCCTAAGTAGATGAGTCCCCTGTACACTGTGCTTCACAGTGGAGACATTGAAGATCCCGTGACCTCACGACCAAAAAAACGCGTAGGTCATGCGTGCTGGTGTAGATTTTTTAAAATCAATTTTCGAAAATGTACACGCACAGCAACATCGCGCCCCCCCCTACTGGCAGATTATAACCCAGCTGTTAAACGGCACTTTCTAGAGATATGCCTTGAACGATGACAATGACATGACTACCAAATATAATCATGATTATGATTGTTTTGATGATGATTATTATAATAGCTGTTTATTATTGGGTCGCATTTTCATTAAATCACCATGCTACCGTATTCCCAAGATTAAAAAAGGCGCAGGAAGGTAAGATACCCAAGACTGTTGGGTCGTTTTAAGTAAAACAACATTTTTACGTGGGTGATTACTACGGCAGTGACATCATACAGCTTGCGAGGGCTGCAGTACCTGATATGAAACTCTGCACAGCCATTGTATTGCATTACAAGTGGTGCACAACGGTGCCGGTCTCAACACTGTGATTGTCAGTTTAAGACGTAGGCTTTGGCGACCAATATCCACGAAAGGTTTTTTTGGGTTAGATCGCGTCAATATTAATGTGTCGTTAAATCTGCCGCCACCTGGCAGCCAATGAAAAAGGTTTGTGACGTAAACAGAACATGGCAATTCGTTACGAGTACAGCGCACCGGTGTGTTGGAGAGTAAACCGTGATGAACCTGTCGGGTGGTGGCGGGTTTAACGACACATTCACGTGATCTAACGGAAAAACCTCTATGGACTGTGATAGTAAGAGTTTAAGCTTAACTCAGTTCAGTGCCTTCACATGTAAATAATATATATTTTTAAATATATTGTTTATAGTAAAAAAATACATATTTTAAAAATATATTATTCATGTATGTATACAGTACCAGTAAAATGTTTTCTCTCTAGGCACTTTCTAAAATCCGTTTGCAGCACTGAGCGAGTGGCACGTAGACGTTGTGGCACTTAGAGTGGCGGGTAGACAGAATGGCACGCAGATTGAGTGGCACGGAAGCCAAGTGCCACATAGACAGAGTGGCACGTAGACGTTGTGGCACAGAAGCCAAGTGCCACATAGACGAGTGGCACGTAGACGTTGTGGCACGGAAGCCAAGTGCCACATAGACAGAGTGGCGCGTAGACATTGTGGCACGGAAGCCAAGTGCCACGTAGACAGAATGGCACGCAGATTGAGTGGCACGGAAGCCAAGTGCCACATAGACAGAGTGGCGCGTAGACACGTAGGCTTGAAGCTGGGCGCAATTGTGACTCTGCATGTCCAGGTGGCAGGTTTCAGGCCGCCACATGCTGGATTATGATGCACTCACCAACCTGTACAATTATTGAAACGAATTGCGTCTTATCATGTGGAGAGTATGGTAGCGCGGTGTTGGATTCACGGTTTGCATTGTAAAGCGAGACTACTGCTCCAAGCTCGTTTTCATTTGATTAATTCGTTTTCATTGATCTCAAACTTTCTGCTTTTGTTAAAACTGAAATAGATACTGCCGTGAAAAATGCTTGAAATTTGGGTGCACTAAAAAAAAATATTTTACACTGATTTCTATGCTTTTAAAAGTGCAAATGTTGCTTTTAGTGACGGGATAACTGTAAACTTTACAATATATTTTTTACTCGAATAAAGAATTAAAAATGTAATGAACGTGTGCGTTTATTGGCGCAGGAGCGGTGGCGCAATGGTTTGTGCTATGATCCCAGACACCTGGAGTTGCATTCCCGATCAAGGACAACCATCAGTGGCACATTGCATTTGAGCCTTGTCTGGGCTTCCCCGCCTGAAATGGTGCTGCGTGTAATACAGCACCGGAAGACAGTGTTAGTTGGCCACACCACTCATTCACGTGTTGCTATGGCTGGCCTTACCTTAATAGGCTCTTGCTAACAGCAAATACTCCTTTGCTCTCATAGTACGTTTCAACCACGTGTCCTCCTATTACCCGCACATGTTTCGTGGATAAGAGAAATCACGTGGCTCTTACTCATCCATACGGGCAACGAGTGACCTGAAAGTTGTCTTGTCGGAAGCAGCCAATGTAGCCGATTGTCCGCGAAACAATTTACTGGTGATAAAAGTTGCCCGGCAAAATCATTATTATCGGTGTAAATCTGTAATTATTATTTCATGGATGGGACTTATTTTCACACATAATCTCGGAACCACCAATATCTTTAACCCCCCCTTATCTGCGTTTGGATGAGGGCCTCCCCCCCCCCAAATGCCTGCCATGGAAACGATCTGACCATACTTCACGCTGGTCCGCTTGCGGGCTGGTGAAGGTGGGGAGCAGCATGCGTTGGGGAGCATAGAAGTACAGAACAACTGATTGTGTTGCACTGCCCTCCGTGTTGCACTGGCGGGCAGCGGTAGCATAGCGGTTAGCGAGCTGCGCTACGAACCCGGCGGCGACCCGAGTTCGATTCCTGCTCACGGCTCAACACCGGTGACGATTATCTGAACCGGTCCTGGGCCTCTCCAAGGTCGACTCAGCCTCAAATGAGTACCCTGGTGCGGTGTGTATACATCGCTACTGGGGAGACAAAGGCGGTCGGGCGTGGTGCTGGCCACCCACCCCCTCGTGTGCCTTCATAGGTGCTCGCTAACAGTATTTGGCCCCAACAGTCTGTTACGGCTATGGGGGGGGGGGGGGGGATATTTGTCTTGTCTGCTGGCCACCAAATAGCGTATGCATCTACGTATATTGAACTTCTTTCGCACCGTACGTTGCCAACCGGAGGTGCGAAATCGATGACAACCTGGTTCGTGCTTGTTGGGCGCCCGTTCCAAGCACTACCCAGGCTCAAAACTTCCGAAATCTGCCGAGAGAATGGTCAGGCAACATTCCGAGTCCGTCGGGCATTGCTGCTCTTTTTCAGCCGGGTTTAAGATCCTCGCTGGTCGCTGTGAATTATTCCACCAGATGGCAGTGTGCGATTTAAAGTACGAGTTCGATTGTTGAGTTTAAATCGCAGCTCCGACTGGGAGCTCACGTGCTTTATTTAGTTAACAATGAAGTGAACAATATTGCCCCCTTCCTGTATCTAAACAAATGAGTTGCCGATGTTTGGTGCATTGGCAGTGGTGCACGAGCATAATTATATAAAAAAGACAAGATATTCGACTTCATTCAAACAGTTTCAAAGACATGCATATATCATCAGAGGAGGTTTGGTCGCGTATTTTGCCACAAGTGTGTGCCTTGCAATAGGTACAGTGAGGGGAAAAAGTATTTGATCCCCTGCTGATTTTGTACGTTTGCCCACTGAAAAAGAAATGATCAGTCTATAATTTTAATGGTAGGTTTATTTGAACAGTGAGAGACAGAGTAACAACAACAAAATCCAATAAAACGCATGTCAAAAATGTTATAAATTGATTTGCATTTTAATGAGGGAAATAAGTATTTGACCCCCTCTCAATCAGAAAGATTTCTGGCTCCCAGGTGTCTTTTATACAGGTAACGAGCTGAGATTAGGAGCACACTCTTAAAGGGAGTGCTCCTAATCTCAGCTCGTTACCTGTATAAAAGACACCTGTCCACAGAAGCAATCAATCAATCAGATTCCAAACTCTCCACCATGGCCAAGACCAAAGAGCTCTCCAAGGATGTCAGGGAAAAGATTGTAGACCTACACAAGGCTGGAATGGACTACAAGACCATTTCCAAGCAGCTTTGTGAGGTGACAACACTTGGTGCGATTATTCGCAAATGGAAGAAACACAAAACTGTCAATCTCCCTCGGCCTGGGGCTCCATGCAAGATCTCACCTCGTAGAGTTGCAATGATCATGAGAACGGTGAGAAATCAGCCCAGAACTACACGGGAGGATCTTGTCAATGATCTCAAGGCAGCTGGGACCATAGTCACCAAGAAAACAATTGGTAACACACTACGCCGTGAAGGACTGAAATCCTGCAGCGCCTGCAAGGTCCCCCTGCTCAAGAAAGCACATATGCATGCCCGTCTGAAGTTTGCCCATGAACATCTGA